CAGCTGAGTGTGATGCAGGGCGAGCAAAACGGTCAGTCCTAGAGCTGGGACCTGTGGATAAAGTATTCAAATTTGGGCGGGGGAGGGTGGAAGACGGGAAACGTGAAAGTGTAAGAAGGGAGGCGTCAGCAGTAGCATGTTTTCGCTTACCCGCCCTGCTGTATGCAGCAAGTAAGGCGACCCGGCTGATAGGACCACGCGACGACCGATGTGGCATGAGAATATTGTTAGTTGTGTAGGTCATGGTTGTACGAGGGCTGGGATACTGCCAGGGCGCCCACACCTAGACAGGAGGACGATTAGGGTCCTCAACGAAAGCCTTTGGCTCAAAAGCCTAAGCTGCCTTGCGATTAGGCGGGGAAATGCAAATGCATTACCTTTTCTACAAGTCAAGTCGCCATACATGCTCCAACCCCCAACCTGGAAATCCAGGAGACTGTGTTCGTCAGACCTCTAACCACTGACCAACCTGAGAGACTCTCACACCACGATAAGGTCCAGTCTCTTCTTCTGCCATCCAACAGACAGTGTGTGCAAATGTCGTAAAGGAACTAGGCATTGATAAAAAAAGACGGTGTCAGAGGAATAACTCTTTTTTTCATGAATAAAACTGTCTGAAGGAAGCATTCAAACATCTTCAAGTCAGGATACGGGACTGCTTGTCTGGATCAGCTGACTCACCGAACAGCTGGTTAGAGGAAACCACGACTAGTGAGTGTTACCCACCAGCTTCATAAGACGCTCGGTGAGCGCGTGTTCCTGAGGTAAACGGTGACATAACGATCTACCTACCTGAAACTAACAGTCCGTCTGGAGTTGGATTGCACTTGGCACAGACGATACCGGGACACAGGAATTCGATTATCAGGGTGCTAGTTCTAGAGCGCCTCAGATTTACTGACTATAATGTAGGTCACATGTTCGTGTGCATATGCTGCTCCCCAAGGGCATTGCACATATTTTTGAAAAGCTAGTCGACGCCCATCGTAGATACTTGAATAATTTCACCGTTTCAACAAGAACACGGTGAAGAACGTTGATGTCTTCAAAATCTCGTTATATGATTATTGCATACCCAGTGGTTAAAACAGGATTGAGAAAAGAAGTAAAAAGTTATGAGTGATCACTAAATTGGAAAACACGGATAACTTGTTAGCGGAGAATCTTTTCGTCCAATTATCGCACTGGTGAATTTGAAGCTCCCAGTGATTTAAGAAAGAGTTGACGATCTTGAATCTGTTGGTTTGACAGTGTATAAAGAAAGCAGACAGATGGCATAACAGTATGGTATGGAAAATCAACAATGCACTCTGTGAACACGCGTTTCAAATTTCTTATCCCACTTGGCTGTAAGATACCGGCTTTCCCTTTCCCAGCGAAGGAAAAAATATCCAGAATCAACTGACTTGGGTGAACAACGTTACTCAGTTTTAAATGCAGAGGTCTTGATTCACAAGACCAGTCTTACTCATAAACACCTGATCACCTGGTTTTCGCTTAATATTGACATCCTGTGTGTTCAACTACGAAAGTCGTACGTTTATTGCTGAGAAATGAAACAAAAAAGAAAGTGCCAAGGGTGGACTGGTGACCCGCACTGACCGCACTTCACACTCACTCAACTCATCACGTGACCATCTGTGCTTTAGACTCTGTTAAGACGGCCACAAAATGACGACACAACCAACACCATATCAGACTCGGCACTCGTGGAAGGTCGCCTTTAGCACAATCGCAGGTGCTACATGCGTGCACACATCAGTACGCGCAAATACAATTGTCATATTTAGTGCGCTTCACTTGTTTACGCCACTCACATGAACAATCTACATAACTGCTCTTACAAGCTGCACAGAGTGCACACTCGCAGCCAGTACAACACGGATGCAGTGCCCACGCGCGGACTTGCCCGCCACAAACGCATCCGTGCTCACCAGGGTCCCGGAATCACGTTATTCATTCGGTAAAGGGCAACCCTCTTCGTGCCTTTGAAGAACAATGATAAATCTACCACGCACGACTACCTTCTGGTTGTCCGTGCGACACCTCAAGCGGTAAAGCCAAAAACAGCAAGAATAATGCGATGCGTCAAAACGCCTCAAACGTCAAACGCCTCTCGCTGAACGCCACTTTCGTCAGAAAAACATGCATAAGTAGTAACACTGTCGGCAGAATGGAATGATGTGAGAGCGTGAACACAACGATGCAAAATGGGCAAACGTGAAGGTGAATGAACAGAGTGCAACATACCTTAGCTGTATCGACCACGTCTTTCAACAACAAGATGCGCTGCAATCGAATGATAAAAGTTTCAAAGTCGGAAGACAGAGACACAGTTCGGTCGACAATTTTGTCCCGGGGCAATTTCATGTCGGTGTTTAGCCATTCGCTAGAGAAAAGGTTGAAACAAACATGGACGTCTAGAAAGTATAAAAATGGCGCCAAGATAAGCATATGTGCGAGCACTCAAAAACTGATGTTTTGCTGGTTAGAAACCCGAATTCGTGACTTCATGGAAAAGAGCGAAAGTCGGTTGATGTTTGGTATCCAAGCCATGAACCACTCAAACGAAGTCAGCGTTTACAGTGGCGTGACGGCTTGCGCGTCTCCTCAACCCGCTGAGCTGTAATGGCGTAGAGTCTCACACAAGATCGGCTAATGGCTCGAGGTCTGACTAACACAGTATCGCGGCTCCCATGTTTGGCGCTGGGACATGTGAGGCGACCTGATCCTTAAAATACAGGCTGTTCTGACGGTCTTACACCGATGAACACTGTCTTGTGCTTCCGGTTTTTTTAAGTGATCATCAGTTTGCAGCAAAAAGAACATTAATTTCAACAAATTATCGTGGAATTTCGATATGAACCCAGTTATTTCGCATGCAACGACCGAACGTTTTCATGATAAACATCTCGTCATCATTGCACAGTAAAATGTGCGGTTAATGCAAGGTTCGATGAATCCAAAGCGACTGAGATAGCGATAATCTCGATGAAGGGGCCTCAAAAAATTGTGATTTGGTCGTACCTACCAGCGACATTTGCCTCCAAGTTCGTAATGTATGACCCCACATCATAAATCACTACATGCAGCCGTGATATCCATCCGGTACACAGCTACCACACAATCCTAAGGCTGCATGAGAGCTGAGGTACTACCATCCGGCCCAAATTTGAACCAGAGCAGTCGGAAAGTCACGGTCGAGTACGAACCAAGAAACGCCCAGTCAGAAGCATCGACAGCTAACCACTGAGGAGCCTCGAGCCAGCTTGGACCCAGAGAACACACTGTAATGTCCAGTGTATGGGTAAGGAACGCCGATCTTACTTTGTTACTGACTGTATTCCACATAAATATTGCCAAAATACGGACAAAGTTAATCCAACCCATGACCACCAAAACATTAAATCGGAAGTTAAACTAATGTGATCTCTGTCGGAGCTGAGTAAGCTAATTCGCCACTAGCTGCTCTCGGTTAGCAACTGGATTCGGTAAGAGTGTTACGGTCAGGTAGCACAAACAACGTGGATGAAGTTCAAGTATGAGCAAAAGTGATAAAATAACACATTCATCAACAGAATGAAGTGGCACTTTAGCCCCTCACCCCCCTCAGGTCATGACATAAAACACTGCAAAACCAACACGAGTTGCCGCTGGAATCCCTGAACGATAGAATGCTGTATGGAACATCAAAAGCGACAGTTAATTCAGCGTAATGCTCACTTCGAGTGCCAAATCCTTTGCCGGTGTAGACAAGTCAGACCCAGTGATACGTGGTTCTGATGGCCGTTAGCCACCACCAATTCACATAAGTATTTCACAGGACATCTATTTTCTGTTTTGGGGTGCAATAGGCCACAACATAAAAATAAGTCGTTCAGCTGTAGTACCCTTTCGGTGCCTAACTGCCATGCCATCCGAAGGTTGGGCGATGGCTGGGATACTTCCAGGTTGCCCAAGCCTAGACAGAAGTCGAGAGGCATAGGTCGGGTTCGAACCACGGACCTTCCGGTCAGTAAATTCACGCTCTAACCACTTACACCATCTCATGGTAGAGGAGTATTTTAACTCTCTTCGGGGTGGGGAGAAAGCATACTCGATCGTAGCTGCGGCTGGAAGTTTATTTCTGACTGTTCCTCAAAACGGTCTCTGTTAGGCATTACCATGACTTTAAAAATGACGGAAACAAGAGCCCTTCCGTATTGTCTTATTTGACGAGTGTAGGACATACTGCTAGCTAGTGGTTCACTTTCATAGAATTGTCTAAAAAAACCGTCCAGGATACGTAGACAAGTTGTAGCTACCAGCAGAACCACCGATACCTACGCTCCATTCTACTAACATGCAAGTTGGGCCGAAAAGATCGTATACCAAGTAGACAGATTTGTTCATCTGGTAAGCCAGAACTGTTTGAAATGAGTGGAGGATACTTCCTCATCACCCTCTACCTTGTTCACATTGGAAGACGCGCACGCTCAATTCTTGTTACTGTGATACAGTAGGATATCCACACTGTTACCAAGTTTCCCTTAAGCTTATGTGTTCAGTTGCGAAATTCGACGTCTCCCATTTCCCCAATATGATTCACTCCCGGACACTTCACTAAACCCGGTTAAAAAACCTAGACGAACGTCAGATAACCTATCAAGTGGAACAAAGGTTCAACGTGATATTTGCTTAGAGATCATGACCGATCAAATCGGATAACTTACGTCAAAATGTCGTGGGGAGCTGGTGTTCCAGGCTTGTCTATTGTCTTTGGCGATGACGGTAAAATGAAGTGATAAAGACGGGCCGCGAATGTGCAACACAGTAAGGCCAGTCCAGCATAGGCCAATACGGATATAAAGGAAAGACACGAGAGACTGACGAGGAGAGTCAACACGACGACCATAAGGATTCCAGTCTTCAACGGATCACGCCATTGAATGAGGTTTTCTGTGAGGATGAAAAGGGAGCGAAAGTGTGTGTACTGCAGCTCTCAAGTGCACAACAGGGAATCATCAGAACGGAAGTCAATATGCTGCTGAATCAAGGAAACTTGAATGAGTCACGAGTCATGCGATGCAGGAAAACGTAATAGTTGACGAAATACAGACTAATTTGATTCTAACGAGACTCAACCTAATCCAGATAATGATGCGCTCCAAATGAATGTGCTGTACATACAAAGCAGCCTTATGCTTTATATACATTCGAAATACCGCAATACATTATCCATCATCCTTATGAGTAATGCGTCACGTCTAAGTTATAGAACTCAGAAGAACTAGTGTAAAAGATCCTAGGGGTGTTATAATCCCCTGCAAATCAGGTGTCCCTTAGTCATACTCTGAAGGCCCTCATCGAAACTTGCGTGAAAACCACAGTAGACGGAGAAGTCAGTTTCTGACGTTTAGTTTGCACACCGAAAGCCAAACATTTTCGGAGATCCTACGACTTGCTCGTTTTTCATCACATTATTTGGTACAAAAGATGTGTCTTTTGGTTACATTCTGTACAAAACGAATTTACAATGCAACAACAAAGTGGCAAAGTGCTTTCTCGTTTATTGTAAGCGCTTTCATGACAATCACTAATTCTGCGAGACATTCCAAATCCACTTCCTTAAACGAAACCGTAACTCCCAGAGAACGGCAATGGCCATTCAGCAATGGCCATATCATTCAGCGTTCTTCCGTACATCTGGTGCTACCTGCGTTGCTGTACACCGCAAAGAAAGACACGAACTACCAGGTGGTTGAGAAACATTCACAAACCAGAGACTTGCCACGTTTGTGAAGCTGTCCGACCTTCACTCAACTCGCCTCATGCAATAGTCAATATTGATCATGTGAGGACGAACGACGAGGCGATGAAAAACTAATGTGACCCTGTTGCTACTGATTCATTGAAACCATGTGGGCATCCCTGTTCCGATTCAGCTATGACAGGTTCCAGAGGCAGCTGTACTTTGATGATGATGATGACGTTGACAACACAAAAGGCGAATGATGCACGGAACACTCACCAAAATCCATGCTTCAGGAGAAATACGTAATGAGTAGACGAGAAACCAACTGAAACACCACGATAATATGGTGAGGAACCACTCCGGTGCGCCCGACGCTCTGGCTCAAAGGAGCACACCAACACTTTCAAGGTCGGTCCGTAGCCCAAATTCTCGACCAGTGAAATGCGTCCAATAGGTTCACCAAGTATGCAGTGGAGTGGGAAGAGGAATGCTGGTATACGCAGGTGGGCTGGTATAAGACCAGCTCAGTTCCTTGCAGCTGTATGAGTAAAATGGTTGAGGTTGACCTCCTGAGGTGCTTGCATGAACAGGTGTTCGAATTGTGATTGAGTGAGCGTGAGAATATGAACGAAAAGATGAAAGGGTAAGCGATGGATTTGAAACTGGGTACCAAAGATTGCGGGCTTAGCTCTATTGGTAGAAAGGCAGAAATTACTGGACAAACGTATTATACTGGTATCAGGAAGTAAGCAATGCAACCGAGCTACTTATATTCCGCAACATGGCAAGTTCTTGCTTCTGTTTGAGCAAGTACCTTTGACAGTTGGTTGATGGGTTGTTCGTCAAGTCTAGCAACTGGATAGTAGAGGTTTCGCCATTGCACACCGATGAGGTCCTCTCGATTTGAAACCTTTGCAATCTGGTTGAAAAGCTGGATGAACAAACCAACAACCGAGCAACACAACCGAGTTGCTTAAATTTCGGAACTTTGGTTATTTTTGGTAAGATCGTTGTGACCAGCTATCAGGAAGGTCAGTTTCTTGAAAGTAACCTCAGAATGCCCGATACTTACTGCTCCACCAGAATCTAAACAGGAAAACCGGAAAGCATCCAGGCCAGTCAATCATTCATTCTTGCATGCCACAGAAGCATGACCGAATGTGGTAAGCGTTCAGGCTTTTCATAGAGGCAAGATCGATGTTGATGGGTGTTCACTAACGCCTATCAGACAGCCCGGATCAATGTCAGAAAGTCCCCTTTAAATAGTGTGGAGCCGTTGTAACTTTTGCACCCTCACTCACTCGCTTGTTCGGAATACAGCTGTTGTGTTCCCTTCTGTGAGTCTTTTCTCTCCGACACTAGGCACTGGAACGGGTCAGCAGCAGATACCACAGATTGACGTATCAGCGGATACAACAACTGAATAGTGAAACGATGGATGTGTGGTGTCCCCAGACTTTCTGCTCCTCGTCTTTGTGTGTTGTGTTTTTAAACTTATTTCGAAATTTCTCCAGAGGCGTATTCATAACAATATTGCATATCAACAGACTTTTTTGTTTTGTTTACTTCCACCATACTTGATTCCGTTCTTACACATACCGCTTGCTGTTCCCTCAAAACAGCCTAATGCATTTTTTGGAGTCTCATTTGCAAGTCGGGCTGAACTAGCCCTAATTCTGGTGTTTAGTTCGCGAAGAACAAACGACCGAGGAAGTGAAGGTTTGAATTTAGGAATACGCAAAATGCTAGAATTTATAAGGTTTAAATTAAGGCTAGGACTGGTTTGGGAATATTAAGTGTGTACATATGCTTCAACGTTGAAGCAGATGATTAATTGTTAGTTTCAGAAAAATAGCTGCTAGAGTTGCGTGGACTACGACGCGATGAGATTGTTCCAACAGTATTCTGTTATAAATCAATTAGAATGATATCACTGTGCCTGGAAACGGGTGCTCAAGAATGTTGTGGTACGGCAACAAGATATACCAGTAACGCGGAAGATGATGCATACTGTTGGCGCATTCCGCCAGCCTACCCGTTGGGTAAGGAGGCTTTGATCATCTAGTGCCCTTGGCTGTTGCGTTGCTCTATATTGAGCTACGGTCCGAATGGCACATTTGGGGTGAAAGTCTATGGTTTATTGGACAGTTTCGCATGGCTAGAGAGGGACCTATCTCCGGAAAACCAAACTGTGATGACAAACACCCCTTGGGTAACCGAGCGATGCTTCGGCCGTTCAGTGTGGTCATCAAAAAACGTATCCATGGTGCTATCTGGATGAACTAATGTAAAGATTTTAACAAACACACCTAGTAGGCTAGGGCCAAAGACATACTCTAGGGGACTTAGTCAGTATAGTTGAATTGTAACGGTAGATCACCAAGCCCATATTCACGAGACTCGCGGCCTTGGTAAGACGGGAAAGAAGCAGCGATTTTGAACGCATACCGGGCTCGCGGTGAGAAAAAGGCTTTTTCTCAACGTGAGTGGGAAATGGTTTTGGACGATACGAACATGACGCAAGATTCAGAGAACGCGGATTGGATAGTACGGTTAAGGCTTGTGTAACATTCTCAGCAGGCATTGGCTAATACATCGGTCCCGGGGTTGGGTGTGGTTATAGCTTTACAGGTGACCCTGGGAACTGAAGAAAGGAGTTCCGAAGAGCTATATTTCTTGGTGCTTTCTTTTCACTAACGCACATCTCACGATCCATCGCGGCGAAAAACTGGCCGAATATTCCAGGATTATTCGCAAGGCGTTTGCGCCATTTTGAGGCCCTATTGGTGCTCAAATTGCAGGGGTCTTTCTCTAAATATTACAAAGCTCGACAGGCTATCGGGTGACGTGAATTGCGTGGTTTGGACTTAAAACTGTTTCATTCTCACCGCCAGTAACGAAGAAAGCATTTGGACAAGAAGCGGCTTGGGTGAGGCCTATTCAGAGCAATACCTGTTGTCTTCATCAGGCTGTTTGTCATTGGCCGATCCTCAAAGGAAAACACAAATTTCGCCGAGACCTTAGTTCAAGGAAACGAATCTTTTATATAGAGTCTTAGCATTTGAATGCATCTATTTGAACACTTGAACTCTTCACAGGTTGCCGCAATATTGTTGGAAGTTTTTTAAACGCACTCGAAATCCACTATGATCGCTGAGTTTATATTTTGTTGGCTGCTAAATTGTTTAGGATATAGTCTCCTTGAGGACGGCGAAAAACTTTGTGGAAAGGCTGGTTTCTTTGTGCCTTTTTTCCAAATCGTGTTTCGAAACTACCTCCAGACCACATGAACAATACTTATGCCCTCTGTGCCCGCGCAAACTCAGAATGGTGCAACCATTCGCGACCTGTATGGAAAAGGTTTCTTATATTGCGGCAGATGTCTTGCCGAAGATATCCAAGGGTTTATCACCGGAAGTATTTTTTATTGTTTTATACGATGGTCAGCACATGCTATGTAGGAAGAAAAGCAAGTTCTAATCTTCACATATATACTGAATTCCTGATGGTGCCGTGGGAGGATTGAGTGGGTTTTAAGCAGAACAAGCAGACAACCCAATAATTTGGTTGGTGGTTTCAAGTCTTTGTAAAAATCAAACTGATTGCAGCGGTCTTGCAGATGCCGTGAACTATTTGGAAGCCAGCGCATGACAGCCGTGGTACCCTCAGTGCGACGTCGCACTTCGGTTCGTGGACAGTCCCGGACGTGAAAACCTTAGATGGGACATTTGGGACTGTCATTATAAACAAGATTTCCCAAAGTATCGTGACAAACTAAGACCAGCGTGGATCAAGGATATTCTTGAAGGCGTCGAGAGCCACATTGTTTTATTGCTGCTTTTCAAACGAGGCATAAGAGAGCCGTGTCTACCTGAGGGGCTCAAAAAAGGGAAAGGTGTCAAAAGTTCTGCTGGAAAGCACTATCATATGAGATGGACTGCGACACAAAAGAGCAAGTAGCTAATGGTGGTCACAATTTATAACTGCTTCAGTGAGGTGGCACTACCCGCTTTAAAAAAAAGTAACCGATATTCAGATGCAGATTACAAGTATGCGGTTTACCCTGTTATGCTACACTGTACATTGGAGTATAGCTTGGATTTGGCGTTCTAAATAAGCGAATCTCTCACTGATCATTCGCCCGCCCGGTAGATCTTTACTACGGCTGCATGAATGGATGCACGTTTGAGAAAGCATGCCGTCCATGAATCCTGAGGCTCGCATTTGTACCGCTCAGTCTTACGGCCGACTAATATACACCCCTCTTTATCCTTAGCTTTGCTACGTACAATAATGCATATGGTCGCTGAATCCCGATATCAAATGGTTGATGTGCACACGGCTCTCTGAATGTCGCAAACTCGATTAACGGAGTAGGTGGTGAGTTTATTTTCAGAACAACAAGAATCCATCTTCAGCGTGGACACTGCTGGGGAACTGTTGACAATGGATTTATTGAGCAACTGGTGAGTTATCCGCAACATCTTATTTAATTATGTTTTCAGCGACATCGCGGAAGAAGCGAGTCGTAATTAATTATATAGTTTCTTTCGGAGACCCTATCGAGTGAAGGAGGCTTCTTGAAACTGGGAAGTGGATCGATTACACATTAGGTTTGCATCAGTGCAACCAAGAGATAAGATAAATGATTCACTAAGGGCGGTCATGTATTTTTAGGCATGGACTTGGCAGACAAACGATATATTTTATAAAGGACCTACGTTGGACGATTGATTCGGCTAATATGTATGGTTGATGCTCCATAATCGGCTGCGTGAGTGTGTACGGGCCCGGCTGTAACTAAAAGTAGCCAATGTGTGCGAAATCACGTACAGTTATGTGTTTGTTGTCGGTGAACATCGGACTAGGCCACCGGGCCTAGTTGAGGCTTCATGATCAGCTTCGCACATGGACACGGGCCTAGCAATTACGACAAATAATCGAGGGCCTCATCCAACTCATCGCTCATGTCGAAGTATCGGAACCCACCATCACTTCCGAAATCATGTCTGCTATATCCGAATATGTGAGCTTCTTAAGCAGCCGTCGACTGCAAGGACACAATCTTCAATGAAAATCCTCGGTGCCAAGCTGGAAACTCGCTGTATGAATGTCGCCTTACGGATTCGCTGACACCAACCCATACGCGCTGTCTTTCTGAGACACCGGTTGTCAAACAGCTGAAGACGGCTCACTTCCGCTGCCCGAACAGGCCAATTCTCACAGTCATAGAACAAAGCAGCCCGTAATGCGTCCTGATAGAGCAGCTCTTTGATATTCAGGGACATACACCTTTGACGCCGTAGATGTTGCAAATTAGCAAACGCTACCCGAACCTTGTAGATTCGTTTATTCACCTCTTCTGTCAGACTACAATCAAAACTGATGCAACTTCGAATGTATAGAAAAAAGCACAC